TTTAGTAGATCCTGGGAAATAATCTTCCTGCCACGTGTATTAACTTTATAGTTGAAAAAAAAAAAAAAAAGCCATAGTAAATTCTAGAAATAAGTAGCCTTTAGCTAAAAGGAGTATCTTGGCCTATGTTCAAAATTTAATTCTTTGATTTAAAGTTTTCTTTAAAATAAATATTACCTGATTTTTAGAAAAAGGTTTATGGTAATGTGGTAAAAAATCTCTGAATGGTTAAACTAAAAATACCTAGGAAATACTCTTAGAGATGTAAGAATATATAAGAGAAAAATTTAAAGGACAGAGAGCCCTAAGTAAGTTCTCCCCTCAATAATGATTAAATCAAAGTTCAAATATTAAGAAATAAACACTGAAGCGTAGCTTTAAATTTCTTTTTGTGAAAGCACTTATACTCACTCCTCACTTATCAACATGATTAGGTCCCAAAGACTAGGACTTTATGCGAAAATTGCTGTTATGTGAAAATGAAGGATGACCACGTCAAGTTACAAAATGGAGAATGACTATATCATTACATAATTTCCAAATTACATCATTATATAATTGCCAAATTGCGTCTTACATAACTGCCAAACCACTGAGAATCATGGCCCAGCCAAGTTGACACATAACTTTGAACATCATAGCCAGTATTACTCTCTCCTTGTATCTTGGCATTGGTTACCATCAAATGTATGTTAGTTATGTTGCATATGTTGTTAATGCATGAAATAGTCAGATAGTGGAGTTTTTACTATTGTTATAAATCTGAAATGCTGGGTATCAGATTAGTCAATAAATGAGGAGTTACTGTTGTTGTTATGTGCCGTCGAGTCGGACCCGACTCATAGCAACCCCTCCTTGGGTTTCCGAGGCAGTATCACTATGGAAGTAGATTGCCCCATCTTCCTTCCGATGAGTGGCTGGTGGGTTTGAACGGCCAGCCTTCTGGTTAGCAGTCAAGTGTCTTAGCCACTATGCTACCAGAGTAGGTGTATACTAATGACTGAAATTATGACATTATAAGATAAAGATACTACTAATAAGGTGGTATCCAAATTTGCCTGATAAACATACAAATGGAAACCAATTTTCAGAGCTAATTGCTTCTGATGGAGGCCAGGTTTGATTTGGTTTAAATTGGTTACAGAGATGATCAAAAAACTTAGATTATCCCTTATCTACAACTTAAAAAAAATCTGGAAATAGGAATAATAATTCATAGCTGTGAGAATATGGTTCCTTTAAAAAGAAGCTGCCAATGATATAATTTGCAAGTTCTTTCAAGTTGCTACTTTTAGGTGAATCTAGCAAATGAAAAGTTAAGAGAAGATACTTCCCTTCAGAATTAGAGTTCACTTAAGCAGAATTCGTTCTCACCAAAAAAAAAATAAATAAATAAAAATCACTTTAATTTACACATTTTTATTCTTTTGATCTGAGTCTCAATGGATGGTACAATCAAGAATCCCCACAACACCCCTGTGAGGTAGGTTTGTAGAAGTTATATGCAATATTACTATTGACTCTACCTTAAAGCATCAACTTGAAAGGATCTGCAACTACAGGAGCTTTCTGAACTGTGGTTACTCCTGTCTGGACCTAGAAGTTTCAGTTTCACTATATGGAGCTTCTTACCTCAATTTTGAACCACTGAATTATGTTTTCTATATTAGATGGACTAAGGACAAGAGAAAGCAATAGTTTCAGAGTTTGAATAATATTCATGTATACATTAAATTTTAATACATTTTCAGTTTACATATTGTACATAAATAGACATAAAATTATCAAAATTTTTAAGAATATGCCTCATTTAATGCTCTGATTAAGAATCGAGCAAAATGTTATGTCAGTACATTTAAGAGTCTTGAGGATCCAAAGCCTATAGTTTATCTGGCAAAACATGTTGTCTTTTCCATGATCAAGAATGTCCTGTTAATGGCCAACTATCAAAATTCAGCATTAGGAATGGCAAAGGGAAAATTTCCAGTAAATTCCATTTGTTAGTTGATGCATAATGGAGAAATGCTCTCTCTTTTTTTTTTTTTTTTGAGATAATTGGGATCCACTTTCTAATATGCCTTTATGAAGGAGTAGAGAGTATTACATTGCTGAATGTATAGTGTGATTTCATTGTCTTAATCAGTAAGATATTTCTGTTGAAGCAATTGATCAAAGTTTTTTAAAAAAATACATAAAGAATAACTACTGGAAAGGACACTTGCATGAATTATCTGGAGAACTCTGTTGCAGATCTAAAAGGGACTAATCCAAGCTTCTATGCTTGGGAAAGCCACCCAACAGACCTGACTTAGATGAAAAGGTAACAGATGAGGAGTATCATCTATTAAAAGGTGAAAGAAAACGAAAAAGAAAAAGAAAAAAAAGACTATTCACAAAGGTTTCCTTAGTTTAGACAGACATGTCATCTAGTAAAAATTGGTAACAGAAACATTAGACTTTTTATAGTATAGGCAGTCCCTAGATTACGAACAAATTGCGTTAGTAAGTCTGGCTTTAAGTCAAATTTGTACGTTATGTTTGAACACTTAGGCATGGTTTTTACCTAACGTCACCTGGTCAAATGTTTGTCTTAGTACATTGTGTACCTTTATATGCATAAAAAATATTAAACACTTCCAGATACACTAAAACATCTTTAGCATAATAATACAGTAATAATAATAACAACAACAACAACAATAATAATGTTTTGATGCATGTCACAGAGTAGTGTCCAGTTATTTTTATGAACCATTGTATATACCTTGAATTTTTAATATAATAGGCTTTAAGGGGTTGGCTCATAACTACGGGTTATACATAAGTTGGATGTTTATAAGCCAGGGACTGCCTATAACCATTCAATTGAAATTCCTAGTTTTAAAGATTTATGAATAGAAATCAACCATTTCAGAAAACTGGTTAAGTTTTGATTTCCTAGAAAGAGTCAATCAAAACTGGATTTACTTTTTGCAAAGATAGGTTTAGAAATAAGTGAAGCTTTTAGATTAGCCCAAATTAGGAAAAGGCCATCTGCCCTCTGGAAGATAAGTTTGTATCTCCAGGAAGAGGTGGAAAGGAGGGAACTGATCAATCCTACACTATACCAGAAGGTGTGAAAGACAAACTGCCTCCCTCCAAAGATGCTGATGGTGAAGAGGACCATTAACTCATCTTCCAAGATGAAAAAAAGATAAGAAGAAAGCATTGAAACTGTAGAAATGGGACTGTTGAGCTCAGCAGGTTGGCTTAGAATTTGAGATCAACATACACTTCCAAGTCCAATGTCAACAGATGCAAATCAAGGAAAAATAAACCTGATAGAAAAATATTCTGTCTCTGGGGGCTTTGAGACACTAACCAGATAGAAACAATACTAGACGCAAGTTGTGCGAAGCCTATTTTCTTGTTTACAGCTGGCCTGATGGAACTGGAGATATGCCAAACTTTTGCAAAGTATTCCCCATCAAGAAATTCAAAGGAATGTTGCCATGTTCTGATGTGTTGGCCAAGTTCCAAGTGGAGTTAATCACGTTTAGATCATGAGGGAAATATGGCTTCATGCCATGAAAAAAAAGATGCCTTAACAAAGTGGGTTGAATTGTTCTTGCTAATGCTGTCCGTTTTGAGATTCTAAAAGCTATTTTGTCCATTAGGCACTGCTTTGGATGATGCTACTGACTTTAAAGCTGTTAAATAAGAGGATACCCTCCAGGTGTTTAAATTCCATGAAGATAACTCCAAGAGTCTTGTGACGAAAGTGCTAGTTCAGGAAGTCACTGAACATGAGCAGGTGATCTATGGCACTAGCGCCTTGAACAGGGATCCTGTAAAAAATGACATGGGTGTGAAACAAAGTCCTACACTTAGTGATAACCCTGGTCTATTGCAAAAGGGTTGGGGCATGGGAGGGGATAGGATAGTTGGGAAGGAATCAAATACAAGATTAAAAACAGCATTATCTTTACATTGCTAATAAAGCCTTTTCCAAACAAAATGAAAACCAAGTCATTTGATGTAATTATACTTTTAACATGTTGTATGTGGAAAAGATAAGTAAAGACCATGATTTTTTGACATTCTTGGTTCTCATCATGCTGTGAAACTTTCTTTCAAGTTGTCTGTCTTGCCCTTCTTTCTTTACACACACCTGAATGTCTACTTCAACTTGAGTACCTAAATTTTTAATGTATTTTCTATAACTTGTACCAATTTCTAAAACCTGTCTGGGAACTGAATATGGATGAATTGTCACAGTATCAACTGTGGTTCATGTGACTGTGCGTGTATAAGGGGTGTATACACACATACTCACATAAGCAAATGAGAAAAACAACAATACCTCAGATTGGGGGTATAAACATAGGTGATTTTACCATTTTGCCATATCTATGATTAAATTATAGGAAATGTTACAGCATAGAGGAAAGGGAAGTACTATCAGAATTATATGTGTGTATGTGTGTATTTTTGAATACCGTAACTATACAGATTAATGAGCTATGTCATCACTATCCTAAAGAGTATAAATAACTACAACCACAGTGTATTTAAGAAATTAGCTATTATAGTGGTAGATTTTTGTTATTAGTGCTATTTAGATAGTCATAATTTAAATAATCATATTAATCACAGATTTTTAAAAATGTCAACTTTTGACTTTTTAATTTTCAATCATTTCCTAAAAATATGAGTAACTTTCCACAATTTCCCTTCTATGTGCATGAATATCTGAAAAGAATATACTTTGGCTTTGGAGATTTAAGACAGAAAGGATATGATATGAAAGAACTAGAGAAAAATGACAGGGAAACAGGCAGAATGGGTTGCCCTGCAAAATGACTAAAATTATGAGGATACAACCACGTGTGCCAGGTAAAGGCACTAATGTGTGCAGGTGATTTATTTTTAGACATTTTTCTTTTTAAATCACACTTTTTTTAATGAACTACTAAGTGGATAGATTTTTAAAATAGAGAATTATTTTCATTAAATCTTACTTGAGTTCTTGTGAACTGGTGGCCAGCATACTTCGAATGCTTTTGTCAGCCAAGGGGCAGCCAGACAGACTGTAAGACAGGTTAGGATATTCAAGTAAGTCAACTCTCTAATTAGCTGAAACCTCCCGAACAAACACAACATAAAAATTGAAATTAAAAAATTTAATGCAGAAAAGCGATGGGGCAAGTGCTGTATATTGAATTTTTATATAATTAACTCTGATACGTTGAAATAGAAATTCAAGAAAATATTTTTATTGATAAGCAATTTTTTTTTTTTAAAGAGATGAAATATCTGTACTTTTGTTTAAAGGTTTAAAAAGTAGTTTGCAAATTTAGGTAATTTATTTAAATAAAAGACATTATACAACACATAAATTAGCATGCTTTTAAAGGTCAACATATAGCACTTAAAGGGTTGACACATAATTCAACATTTTTACTTTGACAGCATTGTTGAGGTAAGCTGAAAACAATAAATTGAAAAGACAGAATCCACCATGAAAAAAATGAAGTCACACCTTCTATGTGAGGCGTAATTACCAGTCACATGACCACTCCCATCACACCCTGGTGTTGGACATCTGCCACCAAACAAAAACAAAAACAGCCAAAATAGTAAGTATGTTTAAAAAAAAAAAAAGAAAAAAAAACTTTAAAAAAGTTTCATTGTTTCCAGTTTAGCTGCAATGTCTGCAAGGGTTAAGCACCCTAAAGAAAAGCTGCAAAATGCACAAGATTAAATGAAAATGGCGTCTCCATACAATAGAGCATCATTAAGAACAAGCAAATACACAGTTAGCTTCTCACTTTACTGAACTAGCAATTTGAAACATTTATATGCTGCGAATGTCGCATGCTCAAACGGCAAGGCATGTACAAATCCGATTTTTAAAAATAAGCCAAAGAAGGGGAAAGTTAAGAAGAGTAATAATTTCACCTCACATTATGCTTACGTTATTAAATCCTTTTTGCTCTCCTTGCATTGAGGATACTTGGGCTTGGGACTTGGGATGGTCACTTCCCCAGGATACCGTCTCTCTTCTAGAGCTTCCTGGAATGGATCCAAGTCTTCTGGCTGCAGGCAAAATACAGCTTCAGAGCCACAGAGATGATAATATAAGGCAGAGACCAAAGAATACATCTGACAGCTGTGAGATTGTCTCCTCTACATTTTCCACCTCTTCCTACTATACTTTTAAAATGGTTATGTATCATTGTCCTGAATGCCCATTTGAAAATGCAAACTGAGCTTTGTTCAAAACTTATGTCTTTTCTGTGTTGCACCTTAATTTCTTACCAATTGTGTTAAACTTCCACAATTATGAAAAACCATCAGGCAACAGGGCCCATATGAAGTATTACATTTGTTGTTGTTGAGTTGATTCTGACTCACAATGACCTTATGCACTACAAAGAAGAACTGTTCCATATGGTTTTCTTGGCTGCATCTTGATGGAAGCCATCACCAGGCTTTTCTCCCGTGGTACTTCTGAGTGAGTCTGAACCACCAACCTTTGGGCTAGTAGTCAAGCACACACTATTTGTGCTATCTATGGACCTTTTAAGTTCAATATTACCCTGGAGCTAATCATGACGTGGGGTCCCTAGGTGGCACAAATGGTTAAGTGCTCAACTGCTAACCAAAATGTTGGCGGTTCGACCCCACCCGGATTGCACCTCAGAAGACAGGCCTGGCGATCTGCTTCCAAAAGATGGTAAGCCTTGAAAACCCTGTGGAGCAGTTCTATTCTGTACATACGGGGTCTCCATGAGCATGAAATCGACTCAACAGGAACTAACAACAACACAAACATGGCACTGGACGGGTAAGTGTTCAGTAAATCAGGGAAACTATTCCAAATGTGGTCTTCTCACACACTGCTCAATAAATAGTTGTTGGGGAACTGTTGTCTTCAGTAAAACTTTCATGCCATACTGATTTGCAAAGATTAAACTCTGTATCTAAAAATATTTTAGAGTTTTTACTAATCATTTGTAAGTATTTTGCATATATGTGCTTTAAGACCCAAGGCAATAGAAAACAAATTTTGATTAGTGTTGTAATTTTTAATTATTCTTACACAGCATTCTCTTTTTTTAGAGTGTCTACTTTCGAGAATTGTGTTCAATTGATTGCAGTAACAGAGGAAGTCCTATAGATGGCAATGTTCAGCAAAAGTATTTCATAAGTACCTGCACCTCATGCAATAAGGTGTTACTTCTGTGACAGGCAATATGATGAAAATATTTCTGTCGATTTGTAAGGGTTTAATTTTAATTAAAATAAATTTCTATATTTAATTATCATACCTTATTTGGTAGGAATGATTTAACATTGTAGGAGAGAAAAATACTCTAAAATTGAGCTTGCCAATCAGATTCCATTCTCTTTTACAGTGTCTGGATACTTAGATCAGTTTGAAGAATAAAGATAATAGGCTTGACGATGTAATGGCCTTATAAGCAGGTGCCTGCCTTGCCAATTCTTACATATAGGTATTGTTTCCTTTTTCTAACCCCCTTTTTTCTGTAAGACACGATTGCTTTGAGGTGGTCTCACTATTGTGTTAAAGAGGAATTTCCATTTTCATTGTATAAAGAAGATGTCATAATTTTCAGAACTGAATACTGGAGAAAAAGTCAGTCCAATAAAGAACAAAGTATTCTTCATTTCTTTCTTTAGCTTAAAAGACAGTTAATACTTTTGAAATTATAATGACTTCAAAAATATATTCTTGACATCATAGGTATTTTGGAAATATTGTAGCCAATAAAGATTTAGATAATTAAACTGGAATAATTTATTCAAGCCTGGAGTATACTGTCTCGAATATTTTAAGTTTCTTAAAGAAAAAGCACTGTCCCCAGCTTCAAACAGCTAGGTAATTAATAGGAAACAGTTAATCATTTAAGTATTTAAGACAGTTATCATTTTCTACTTGAAAAGAAAATCCTATATTATAGCTAAAGTTTATCCAGGAAAATGCATTGGTGTGCTATCTAGACATTACTGTAAACAGATCATCTGTGACAAAATACAATTGTTAGAAAATAAAATTCATCATTTAAAATATAGTCAAAAGTTTGTTTCACTCAATGTTGGTCACAAATCTCTTTTGGGTCAACACAAATGTGTGTGTGTGTGTGTGTGTGTGTGTGTGTTTACATCCTAATAAGCTAAGCGTCATTTTTAAAGAGAAAATATATTTTGTCTTAAACAAAACAAAACAAAACAGAAAAAAAACAAACTCACTGCTGTCGAGTTATTCTCGACTCATAGTGATCCTCCTTGGGTTTCCAAGGCAGTATCTCTATGGAAGTAGATTGCCCAATCTTCCTTCTGAGGAGTGGCTGGTGGGTTTGAACTGCAAGCCTTCTGGTTAGCAGTCAAATGCCTTAGGCACTGTGCCACCAGAGCTCCCATTTCATCTTAAAGTACGTGCAAATGGTATATTCTTTTAGCTGAGGCCCAATTTTAAAGTCTAGGGGTCAACACAATTAGGTTTCAATGAAAAGGACATACAGTAATCTCTTTGGAATCATCCTCATCTATCCTTCTGGGTTTCATTTTGGTGTAGTCTACTGGCAAGTCCCAGCAGTCCCCCTCATTCAGTTGAAAACACCGATTGTTCATCACCGCCTGCTGTTGGGGGGACATAGGCTCCAGGGGAGTCAAAATAGGACAACAGCCATCTCTTGGCCTCTGCTTATTCATACTGAGGTCCAGAGTCCCATTTTCATCCACCTCCATGTCAGGATTCTGTCAAAATACAGAGACACAGTAATTTGGTTTACACTTGAGTATCTTGTAACCAGGACATTTTAATATAACCCAACTGGAATCCTGTCTTCAGCCAATACAGAATTCAAGCACTGAATTCCTTACATTCTCATTAAAGATTACATAAACCTCTAAGGAAAGCAGAATAGGCTGTTGGTATATTTCTTTTATTCCTCCTTTAACTGTGGAAATGGTTGGAGAATGCATCTATTTATCTATCTCTGTACCTTATTTCCCAATACATCTCTGTTTTTTGAAACTAGCCTGGCCAGTAGAAAACCAAACAAGTGCCTAATTTCAACTCCATTCTAGTTCAAATACTTCTTAAGAGATTAGAAATAAACACACACACACCAGCTTAAAGTTTCTCTTTAGTTCCACTGATGCTAATAGTTCAAGAGCCAGAGAGGAGAAAAGCAAAAGGAATAAAGTGATGAAGGCAGCAGGGAGGAGAAATTAGAATTTATATTCTAATACAAAATCCTATGATGAATAGAATTTTCCATTTTAAAACAGGGAGAAATGCAATTCCTGTTCAAATATCTCTACTACAGTGATTATAGTCTGACCTACTCTAAGTTTCAGCAAATCTGCAATTTAGTAAAATGGTTAAAAAAAAAAATGCAGTACAAGGTGAGTTCTTTTTTTTTTTTAAATGATGCTTTGAAACAGATCAAGAATTCTTCTGAGCTTGTCTTTTAATAAGGGAGAGGGAAGGACACGTGGAGGACAGAAAGTAAGAAAAATCAAAACATCCCCAGCAATCCTCCACTTTTTCCCTACAGAATTACACTCTCTTGAGCAAAAATTTGATTTCAGAGCTGGCATGAAAGCTGCTTCCTACTCAAATGTCTAGCAGCTCTCTTTCCCCTCAATGTAATAGCAGAAGGAGGATACTTAGAATGAAAATATCATCCTTTGGGCTGTTACCTTGATAAATTACACAGTATTATTCTGCCTGAACTCTGTCAAAGTGCATTCCTGATTGCAGCTTTGATACTAATTTAAGCTTCATAATGTTGGATTTATTTTCTCAGTCTTAGTTTAATTTAAATAAAGTGAAAAAAAAATGGGAAGGGGTTACTGTATTATTTTTTCCCTCGTTCCAGTCACAGAATCTTTTCCATTTAGTCTCTCTCATTTTAGCAACCCTGATCACAACGAAAATTGCATGCCCCTGAGATTCTCCAATATATAGGAATAAAGATATTAATAGAAAAGAAAGCATTTGCAAAACATAAAATTACTGACCTTTCTCCTTTCATACAAATTACAATTATTATAACAACTACTGTCAGTGTTGTGAGCTCATTGTGCATGGTCAAGAAGCTTTAGATAGTAGAGAAAGAAAATCTTTGTTTTTCTGGAGAAGAGGTGAACATGTCCGCCTGCTCAGCCTCTCCTCTGAGAACACAATACAACGGACTCCCTGGCACTGCTTGGTTTTCCCCGGCCACCTAGTGGCCTCCGCGAGGTAGCTCTCTCCTTGGTGCGTCTTCAATAACTCTCTTCTGCTGCCAGTGTGTGCAATGAATTGATGGATAAGAAAATTAAAAATATAAAACCTCTATAAATATTGCCAAACATTTTAGGATCTATGGTTTTTTTTTTTTTTTTTTTAAAGAAAACTAATGAGTGCTGGCTGTTACTGCAGAAAGGATGAGAAGTTAGCGTGGAAATCAGATTTTTTACTTTCTTTGTTTCCCTAGTACTGGCTAATTTATTGGGAATGGGAGGCGAAGGGACGCCCCTGGCATTTTATTTGACAATGGAGCTATTAAATCTTATGAATTTTTAAAGTTCAGATCATTTGCCTCTTTAGTTTGGTATTCTCTGTGTGGCCATTTGAAACAAGAAAATCGTGTGTTAGTTACCCCATGTTTACAGAAATGATTACTGATTCTAAAGCTTAGGGTCCATTTACACATATTAATCTAAAGACCTAATAATTCCTCCTAATTTAGAAAATGAGTATTGTTAAGACAATTGTGCTATTAAAGCTCCTATAAGCAAACTTGCACTATTTTTTCAAAGT